GTTGTCGCCGTCGTCGTCGTCGCTGGTCGTCTGTCATCGTCGTCGTGGCCACCCCCCCTTCCATTCCCCCCCATCGTCGGGCAGGTCGCTTTATCGTGGGCCCCTAGATGCCGCGCCTGGGCGCTCGCCCCCACCCCGCGGATCACTTCGCGCGGCTTCTGCTGCCCCAGCTGCGCCCTGGCGGAGGGGCGGCGAGATTTAAAGAAGAGCAGAGGGAGGGCGACATGAAAGGAAGGGGGGGGGGGGCGCAGGGGGGGGGGGGGGGGGATTGAGGAGAGGCGAGGGATGCGGAAGACGGGGCTCTGCGGGTGGGGAATCAGAAGGGAGAGGGCGGAGATGCCGTCTCCGCCGCCGCCGCCCTTGCAGGCGAGGAGGGGCGCGGAAGGGCGGCGGCGGGAAAGGGGGGCGGTGGGGGGCGAAGCGCGGTCCGCAAGCGAACGAGCGCCGAGATGTGGACGCGGGCCTTCGGATGGCGAGGGCTGCGTGGGCTGGCGCGCATGCGTGCGCGCGCGCATGCACGCGCGTGCGCATGTGTGCATGTGTGCACGCATGCACGCACGCATGTATGTATGCGTGCACGTGCGCGGGCATGGGCCCATGCATGTGCGTGCGCGCGCATGAACGCACGCATGACTGTAGGCATGTATCGATGCGCGCGCAAATGCACGCATGCGCGCCCGCGCGCACGCATGCGCGCACGTAAGTGCGCGCATCTGCATAGATGGAAACGGATGCGCGTCGTTGAAGGGCGGGGTCGGCTTGGGGACAGGGCGCGATATGACAAGATCGGGCGCGCTCATAATCCCAATCGCACTCCCCGCCTCCTTCTCCCACCTCCCCCTGTTCACTACCGATGCAGTTTACGCGCGGCCCACGCAACACTTCGTAGCCCTCCGAGGTGCTGCGCGGGCGCCCGTCCTTTGGAACAAAAACCACGGTTCTTGTCCGCGCAAGCGCTTCGCGTTTGAGTTAAGGGGTAGGGGTAGGGTGGGGTTGGGGGTAGGGATCGCATCGCAGCTTTTTTTGTAAGAAAAAACCGCCACCGCGTAGATCTTGCTGAGGGAGTCCAAACCGACCACGGGGTCGCGGGTCACCCTGTTGACTTCCTGGTGCATGAGGCCGCCGAAATACCACGTCTGGTCGAGAATATCATCGCCCCCATCCGCCAACAATTTCTTGACTGCTGTGAGGACGGGTGGCTCCTGCGCAAGACACATAAGGTTCATAATATATGGCATGTCGGGCGACATGTATGTACGCATGTATGTATGTGTGTATGTATGTACGCATGCATGCATGTATGCATGTATGTTTATGTGGCGCTGACATTATTATTGCCACTGCCATGACACGGCATGGTTTTCGGTCCTTCCAAGTCGGCCCCGAAACCTAAAACATGCCCCCCCGAAGAAACAATCGGAAGTGATTCCACATTCGGTGCCGATTCGTTGTTTTCTGGGCCGCAGAAGCCCCGCCCCATGGGACGTCGCCGCGTCATGGTCTGTCATGTTAAGCGTTGATATTCAACACCACGCCATGTCATATAATGTTCCATGTCATGTTGCGACATCCGATTGTGCGAATAGAGAGAGGAGATCCTGCGCCATGGTAAGGGATGGGAGGGAGGGGTAGGACGTCAGATATGACGCGAGCGCACCTAGCTTGTCCTCCCCCCTCCCCCTCCCTCCCTCCCTACCTCCCTTTCCTGTTTTTCTTCGTGACCTCTGGAGGCGCACTGGCACCTCGGCGCGTAGTCGTGCGGGGCGAACTGCCCCGGCCCGCAGGGGGCGCAGTACAGGGCATTGGCGCTTGCGGCAGACCCCGCCTTGCACGGGGAGTAGCCTGGGGAAACCGAAAGGCACTTGCACGACAAGTTGGTGCTGTGCCGACTTCAGCGCTGGTTTTTTGACACCGCGTGAATCGCTCGGCTTTGCACGATCGGCGGTTTCCCGGTCGCCAGATCGTTCTATACTGCCCGTTTCTGGGCCGCTGGCGGCATTCAACCTGGAACGCCCGCGGCTGGGTCGCAGCCTATCGACACGACGCGAACCCACTGTACCGCTATTCCTGTACCTCTCCCCATGCGCGTTTTGACCACAAGTTCGAAGCGAATCCAGCGGTGGCGACGAAGGCCTCCCAGGAGGCCCCTCAAAAACGGAAAGCGAGGGAGGGGCCAGCGGTATGGGTACAGAGAAGTCTGACACAGTGGATGTTGGAAATTCAATGAAAGTGGAAGTGGCCAGGGCTGGAAAAACTGGCAGGGGCTGGAACAAACCTGAAACAATTCGGACCTGGTCGCCAGGGCTGGAAAAACTGACGGCTGGAAAGAATTAAAGGGCTGGCCCTGGCCACTCCTTCCAGCCTCCCTGTGCCGCTTCCTCCCGTGACGGCCGTAGCTCCCGTTGTTCCGCGCGTGCCCCGGCGGCGTGTCCTCGCAGGTGTTGGCCCCCTCGTGGCAGTTCTGGCCAGGCACCCGCGTGCAGTCGTCGGACCGCTTGCACTCTTGCCGGGCGCTGCCAGGAGGGGGGTGTCCAAGAGGGAGGGGTGCAAATCATGACCGGCGGCATGTGTGCGGCCCGGCGGGGGGGCCAGGGACGTAGTGAAGCAAGGAGAGGCGCCATGACATCTGGGGAAATATCATGGCCCCCGCCATGATATCCCCCCGCCCCCTAGTCACCACCCCCCTCCGTGCCGCCCCCGATGCCGGGTGCTGCCAGGAAGGGCCCCAGCCCGGGGTGCCGGCGGCCCTCGCCCCCAGGGGAGGCGCACGTGGCTTCCCCAGAGCAGCCCTCACGAGGCACGAGGGGGGCCGCGGAGGCCCCAGAAGGAAGCGAACGGCCGGCTGGGGGCACACCCCGTGGTGGACTTATGTTGTCCCCATCGTACTTAGGGGCCACATCCTGGAAGTAAGTTCGAGCACCTGGAAAAGTGTCGAGAGAGTGTCGAAAGATTGTCGAAGCAGTGTCGGGCGAGTGTCTCCCAGGGTCCGAAACGTGAAAACCCTCGAGTTTGGCTGTACTTTTCTGGTGCTCGAAATCATGTTTGGTGATCAAGGCTAAAATAAGTTGGAACATCATAATGGTAGACGAGGGAAAAGGCACCTGCAGATGAGAATAAAGAGAAGGATGACAACAAGGAAGAAACTGCACGCAAATATATTGTCCAAGCTCTAACATCATAATGGTAGACGAGGGAAAAGGCACCTGCAGATGAGAATAAAGAGAAGGATGACAACAAGGAAGAAACTGCACGCAAATAGATTGTCCAAGCTCTGCGTGGATTCCCGGGCTCGGCGCTGGACCACCCTTCCTGGTGCACGGAGCGCGCCACGGGCGGCGCCGCCAAAGACACGCAGCGCCGATCCAAGAAATCCGCGCGGAACTCCGACGATGTTTGTCTATGCAGCTTTGCCGTTTTCGATTCTTTAATGTGGGGTGTCTGGATATCCCGACTCAAGATTCCTGAGTCGTTTTGAAAACGATAAAAAAAAACTCCGCTTTGATGTTTCCACGACGCGCGGGGCAGGACGACCCGCATCGGATCGGAAAACCGATTTTAATCGAGATGTATCGAATCAGGCGGCAAACAGGTCGGACGGCATCGGAATCGACGTCCGCCAGCCCAAGCCGAGGCATACAAGAGGAAGGCCGAACCCGAGCCAGAATCTGCGAGGCGGGGATTTATCCATATCCACCGCCTGGGAACCGACGTCCCAGCGCCGTAGCGGGCGGCAGATATGTATATATGTTGGCCCCCGGGGGCCCGAATATGTCCATATCCACCGCCTGCCGAAGCTCCGAAAGCTGACCCTCCAGGCGGTTGTCATGTATAAATTCTGGCCTCGGAGAATCCCAACCCTGAAAACCCGCGCGCGAGGTGCGCCCGAGGGGGAATTCTGGAGCACCCTGAACGCAACCGCTCCTTCCCCGGCTGCGGGAAGCCACCGCGCGGCGCGCGGAGCGAAGAAACCCATGACGCCCCGACGAAAAGCAAACGGTTTCTTGATGCGCGCCCCCACTGTACAAAAAGAAGTCCAAACCCGAACCAGAATCTGCGAAGCGGGGATTTATCCATATCCACCGCGTGGGAACCGGCGCCCTGGCGCCCTGGCGGGCGGAGGATATGAATAGATTTTGGCCCCCAGGGGCCCGAGTAGGTCCATGTCCACCGCCTGCCGAGGCTCCGATAACTGACCGTCCAGGCGGTTGTCATGTATAAATTCCCGCCTCGGGGAATCCAGGGGTCGAGCCGCATCGGACCAAGGTCGAGGAGGAGGAGGAGGAGGAGGAGGAGGAGGAGGAGGAGGAGGAGGAGGAGGAGGAGGAGGAGGTGGTGGTGACTGGCCGTGAGGCGGGTTAGAACAAGTCCTCCTCGGAGGCCTCCGGGTCATTATCGGGGCCTCCCCTGCCGCCCGACTGGCCGAGCACTCTCACTCGGTCCAGCTCGGCGGCATGTAGCCCAAAGGCCGCAAGGGCGGATGCCTGCGGGGGCAAACCGAAAGACTCTGCCGCGGCGGCCCTGCCCGTGGCGGAGCCCAAATCCGCAGCAGGCTGAGACTGAAAGTCCTCGAGCTCAGTCCTCTCCTCAACGCTCAACGAACCAGGTTGGCTGAGCGCGAGGGCCTTCGCAGAGGCACGATCATGGGGATGCTTCCCCCTCTTGCTGCGACGCAGGAGGGACTTTACCTTCGGGCCCGCTGGCTCCCGCTCACAGCGAGACAACGACAGTCCGCCAGGCTTCCCCGAGGTGCACCCCCCGCATCTGACACGGGAAAAGATCTTGCCATGCTCCTCGCACGGCCCAATCGGCCCCACATCAGAGCAAGCCATGCCCTCGGATATAAAAGGCACTCAGGGCTTCAGCAGCCCGCGCCTCGTCAATCCCGCCATCCTCTACGACGACGCTCGACGACGGCCCATCCTCTCCTTCATCGCACTCGGGGGGGGGTGGCTGCTCCGAGGATCCGCGCTCCTCGGCGGCGACCCCAACTGCGTCGCACCTTCCGCCCTGTTGGGCGAGACAGACCTCCAGCCTGCCCGCCCACCTCCCCTGCTCCTGACAAAGGATCTTAAACCCTCTGATCAAATTCGCATGCTCCTCGGTGACTCCATGCATCCAATCGCCTGCCTTCGCGCGACGGTCTGCGGCCTGGTTGGCTCTGAGCTCCCACCAGGTCGTCTTGCCACTCTCTACGTCGCCACTGCCCGCGTGGGCAACCGTTTTGTCGGCAGCAAGACCCTCAAGAAAACACGGCCCAAAGCGGCGCCCATGCGCGCCCTCTTTGGGCCCAAGCTTCGGTTCCCGTGTCTGGGCCCCCGCGCAGGACATTGCGCGTCGACTTGCAGTCCAGGTGCAATTGGAAGGGCCCCCCCCCCCCGCGCGCGCCAACATGCGGATCGCGAGATCCTCGCCATCCTTGGCCGTCTGGCGGGGGCCGAACGGCAAAGGCACTAGGCCGAACGCTGCATGCATTGCATTGCCGAGCCAATCAACTTGCGCAGGCGCCCAGCCCACACGACTGACCCCTTCTAGCGATAGCCACATAGCTGAGCCGTCCGGCGAGGAACCCACAAGCTGGCTTGCTCACCCACCTGACGGCCTCAGCTGGCTCTTCGCGGGGCACTAACACTAAAGGACTCGGGTGCGCGCGCCCCCCGACCCAATGCTCTGGCCGCGTCCTCCCACGGCCGCGGCGAGACCCCGCCCCTCCTGAGACTTTCATGCGCGACGCACTCGTACTGCCTATGCCACAGCGTACCTACACTGGCCTGACACCGCCTGCGCATCGGCGAATCATGCAGCCCCTTCCCGTGCACCCTCGCTTGCGGCCAGTGCGCGTTGCAAATCAGCGCTCTGAGTGCGCGCTGGCGGTGGCTGGGCCAGTCTTTGCTCGCGCCGCGGAGGAGCCCGCGCAGCCCCGCCCAACAAATAAGAGGCACCTCGTGGCGACCTCGGGGGCCCTCGCCCCCAAGCCGCCCAGAGCTGCCCAGAGCTAGGCGGCCCGGCGCCCGCCCGGCCCCGCCCGGCGCCAGCCCTCGAAGCTCCGGCGGCGAGAGCTGGCGCGGGATCCGCGCGCGCCCGAGATCGCCCCCCGGGCGCGTGGTGGGCGCGAAACGCCAGCCGCCCCTGGAAACAGTCGGGCAAACTGCTTCCGCTGGCGACGAGGCGACCCTCCACGGGTGACGGAAACGATCCTGTTTGTCCAGAGCTGCGCCCATGGTAACACCTAGCACCGTCGGCGGGGGGGGGGGGCCACGCAGACGAGGCCCATTGAAACGCGACGCGCCCCGCATAGGCAACCAGCGGGTGCGCGAGTGGAGCCTGAGCACAAGACTGGATCCTTTGGGGGGGCCCCCTATGCTATGGGCAGCTGACTGAAATACGACGGCCGCGCATGGCCGAAGGGGGGCCCCCGTCACGCTGCTTCCCTAAAGCGCGGCAGTAGTTGCCCCGCCCCTCTGGATGAGGCCAACATCCGCGCCGGCACTCTGCAATACCTGCAAGCGCTGGCCCCTTGACATTGCGGAGACAAACCTACCCCTGGCGACGCCTACCCCCCCGCGGATCCCCGAGGGCGCATCCGCGCCAATATTCCATGCCGATTCCACTCTCGACGAGGGGGAAATCCACGGAAAACCCTAGGAAGCCGAGACACGCCCAGGCTGCATATACACTTGGTCTTGTTCAGGGCTACAAGCGGGCTCAAACGGTCGAAATCAATCGGCAGCGACCCCGCCCCCCCCGAGAACATGGGCCGCCTGCTCGTTCCCCCCGCGCACCTGCGAGGCAGTGTCATCGACCGCGTTGCTACGCATCAACTGCGCCCCCCCCCCCCCGCTTTGCCTGCAGCATCGGGCCCGAGAGAAGAAGTTTCGCAAGACGCGTTGCTCCACTGCAGCCCGCGATCACGGACCCGCTAGCACGCGCCACTCGAGACGCCGCCCTTCCGCGCAATGGCGCGCGGGGGCGCGCATATCGCGCGCAGGCAGCGCGACAGTCTAATCGGAAAGTTGAATCGCAGCGCCGCCTCGCAAGTGCTCGCGACCTATGTGTTCGTTAGACTTGGAAAGGTCAAACAGGACGGGGGGCAACTCAAAACCGACCCCTTTCGAGAAATCCGCTAGGAGATTATGGGCCCACCCCGCTCGCTCAAGCGCGGCAGTTTTGCTGACCCCCAGAATGCATCTTCCACGCGGTCGCGCCCCCAGCGCTCGAATAGCGATTGCCCCACTGCGGACCAACTCTTGGTGAACAAGGCCACCGACGGAAAAAAAAGGGGGCGAGCCCCCCCCCAAAAAAAAAAGCCTCCGTCGGCCTCGCCAATAAAAACGGCACTCGGAGAGAAACAATTCCCGCGGGGGCTCTTCGAATCTGCGGAGAATGTCGGTCAGGCGCACAGCGTGCTCATCGCCGAGCTCGAGTGCCCACCGAGGACGAAGCCCACCCCACCCCAATCGGCACTCCCTGCTCTACCCCCCGCACGCCCTCTTCAGAAACTCT